CCCCAAAACCCCAAAACCCCAAAACCCCAAAACCCCTCGATAGAGGATATAAATTGAAAATGAAAAATTTAATATAAGGCCATTTTTGAAAGTCTTTTAATGGATTCTATTGCGAGATCTATTGACCCAAACAAAACTAAGAGTAAGAGAAGGTCTAAACACGATGCAAAAAATCGAGATTATAAATGTGGATGTGGAAAATCTTATCTCAGTTATCCTGCTCTCTACACACATATTAAGACGAAGCATAAAGGAGAACTTCCAGAAGGAACTATAACGACACAACAAAAGTCTGCAAGAGGTAGAGGAAGACCTAGAAAGCTCTACATTGCTGATGACTCTAAGGAAAGACAAGATAAAGAATACGAAGCAGAGATGAAGCGAAAAGCAGAACATAACAGAATTGATAAAGAATTCTTTGATAAATACAATGCTTCTGGAGGCCCAGCTGATCCAAAAATATGGTTTATCGAAGATGAAGAAACACTGAGTAAAGTCAGCAAACTTCATGGTAAAGTATGTGAGCAACTAAAGAATAAAAGACCCAAAGCTGTTGATATAACCTGAGATGATGCCATCTGTCAATATTTAATCGAGATGAGTGAAAAGGTGACACAAAATTTTTACAAAATAATGACTCTCTTGTTTGAAAACTATCGTGCTTGTCTTAACCAATATGGATGGGATATTGTCAACCAATTTAAAAGAATAGAGGTTGATAAATATCATGATCGGAAGGCATTCACCAGTGTTAAACCGCCTAGTTATCTTCCTCAAGTGGCTAATAGATTTATTAAGAATATTATGCTTTCTCTTCCCTTAATGATGAGTGTTACTCCGAACAATATCTCTACCTCCTTGAAGCAACTAGCAATTGACCTGACAAAACATTTCTGTGACTGGTTAGTTAGAGTAAGATACTCAGATAGAACACTTGAGAAGGCAGAACTTAAAAAAGAGCCTGCCAAACCCAAAAAGAAGAAGAAGTAATTTTTCAACTATTCCCAATTATTTAGGGGTTTTGGGGTTTTGGGGTTTTGGGGTTTTGGGG